GGGTACATCCAGGTGATGATCGCCGTTGTCCACAATTTGAAGTCCTCGTTCGGTAACCTTGGCAGTGCCGCCCGCTGGTACTCGTCCGGAAACACATCCCTATTCCGCACGGGAGTAGTCCGAAACCTGGAGCGCGCGTCCGCCATGGCTGTGGCTATGGGTTCCAACCGCCGCAGCGATTGCACACCCGCGGTCGTGGACGAATCTAGACCAAACTTCAACAGCCGCATCACTGCCTCACACATCACGTCGAAGTTGTCTGCAATAGACGACGTACGGGCAACCCCCACGTGCCGGAAGCTCTTGACGTCGAAAGACGAAAACGCACGCATCTAGGCGAGGACGTCGCCCGTGACGTGAACGATATCGCCCATCAATCCCTGCAGGTCCTCCTTCTGTGGCCCGGGCTCCGGCCCCCGCTGCCCCCGAAGTACCCAGAGTGTCTGATTATATTTGGCCTGCCAAATGGTGGCCTCCCTCCTCGCCTCCTCTTTGGCGTTGGACCTCGCGGGCACACTCGCCCCCCCGCCCGCGCCCCCGCCCCACGGCGACGACGCCGGCACCAGACCGAGGCCTCCCGAGCCCCCGGGCCCACGACTCCCATCCTGCCCCGACTCCGGCCGGAGGTTCTTCAGCAACCCAGCGATCTCGGTAAGCTGCGCCACAATGTTCGTCTGGCCTTGTTCCAGAGGAGCGGTTTTTTCCGCATTCTCAGACGCAAGCGTGGTTCCCTCGCTGGGCTCCCCCCCCGCCGCAGCACCCACCGACATATGGGCCAAACGAGACATGACGTGGGCCTGGACTTGGTCATCCGCACGCCCGAGCTCCGGCTGGCGGTCCCCGCTGGAAGCCAAGGCCCGAGCATGACTTTGCGTCGGAAACCCACTGCTCTCGGCAACACCAACATCTGCGGATGATTGCGTTGTTGAAGCCACGTCACCTGCTGGTGAATCCACGCCATCGGCAGCAGCCCTCGCGGCCGCCGCAATAGCGTCCGCCACAACCTGAGACGGAAGAAACGAACCCCCTCCCGTCCCCAACGCCGACTCGACCTGACCGCCAGTAGATCCTTCACTGCGGACGACACCAAGGCGCTCTTCCGTCTCCGGCGACTTGTGCTCGGATGACATGGCCCAAATTTGATGCAACCGAGAGCCCCCAAGATTCAAACCTCCCGTTCCAACCGATATGTGAATGCCCCCAGAAGCCCGCGCCAAAAAGATCTCCTCCAAAGAAATAGATCTCCGAAATACCTCTTGGCTGCGGCAGCCTCCCTCGTGCTTCCTTGGGGCAGACCAACAAGTGCTCCCAAGTCTACTCTTCTGGTCAGGTTTCAGACACTTCACGCTGACTCCATGCTGCTGCACTCTGATTGGCCAACAGATATTTCATCTTCCGCTCCTCACAAAACTCAAATTTCAACGCCTCTGTCTCTGCAATCTTCTGCTTTTTTCCTGAACATGGGTGTTGGGTGAGTGTGTGTGATGACGTCACTGGCTTTGTAGAGAGACGCGGCAGAGATGGCGCGGATAACCCGGGTGCCTAACTTGTGTACCTGCATCGTGGAAGACCCCTTCAATGTGGAACTCCTAGTCAGTGCCGATGCTTACACTGCTGTGCCTAACACAGATGATCTGGATAGTGGATATTCGGGTGATTGTCAATTGCAATCAATCATGGCTTTGGTTGGGTGTTCTTCTTCATTGTATGTCCGCGGACTCATTCTGACAGCACTTCAGACAGCAGCTGCATGCCCCGAGCTTGTCCACCATGCACCAGGTGTTATTATTGTACAGACTTCACTTCAGACAGCAGTATGCTGTAGTCGACATACAATCATTTTGGTTAAATGCGAGACAAGGGGGGTGATGCTGCTGCTGTAGTCGAATTGTAGTGTTGTTGTTGTTGTTTTTTCTCACATTAGCTCTATAGTCCACAAAAAATGGGGAGCCCGTGGTCTCAAAACCCGACAAATACGACGCCGCGGGGAAAAAAAAACAGAAACAAAAATAGGGTACAAACCACTCGGAAAAAGAAAAGTTGCCCACAGGGGAGTTATCGTTGTATGCTGTCTGGGAAACCGTAGACATACAGGTAGCCTTTCGCTCACGCTTTGGATTCATTGCTAATCTATCTTAGACTTATTTCTATAGATAGAGATGGATTTGTTGTGTGATATTAAGAAGAAAAAAAAATGATGAAAGAAAAGACAGGTGGTATCGCACCGACCGTTCGAGGAAACAGCCCTCGGAAACCGATCAAAATAAAACACGAACAAAAATAAAGGAGGACGCTTCCCACACCCGCCGTAAGAAAAAATCAAAGGGTAATGTACCAGCACCAGGCACTACGCACCAGGGCATGGGAGTAACGGAGCAAACAGGACAAAGAGGCGGCAGATGGGCAGACAGCCCGACGTACGAAA